TTAATATTACCTAAAATATCTTTTCAGAAGTTTAGGTCCTTGCTTATGAATGCTACTGATGACCATATTTAAAATTACAAATCTTAAATCGTAAAATTACAAATCTCCACTTGCATCTGCCATATCATCCTCCAGCCCATATTTGTACTGATCTATCATCAAATTCTGGAGGCAGTGTTAAAGCAAATTGAACAATAAGTTCTCTAAAAATGCATCGAAATTCAGATCCTCTTTTGGTGACTATTACCAGATGTAAAACAACACTTGATAGAACACATCTCAGCACCTCAAGGTATTTCCAAGAGCAACAGTCACGTTCATTTGCAGTCTCAGAATGAGGAAAACATCAAACTAAACTTCTTTCATTAAAATTTGAAAAGGAATGATCTTTTGACCGCTGAGAGTAAAGACACGTGGCTAAATAATCCTCCACTGAGAGGGCCAAATTCCCTGTCTTCTGCTCCATCCCCTCCCCCATATTCTCTTACTTTGCCCCCCCCAAAAAATTACTTTTACCTTCATAAGTAATCTGCTATGGACATCACCTTAAAAAATCAACTTTCACACATGCAAATGTGTGCCAATATCCTTAGTGCAGCACCAGTCAGGGATTTGCTGTATAAGCCATAGCAGAGTGCCTAGCATTCTGCTAAAATTTCTTGTATGTTCTCCTCAGAACTATTTAGGAGCTGCAAATTATAGCTCTATATATATGTAAAAATACACACACACACACTTACTTTAACAGCTGGAGAGAGACACTGTTCTCACCCTTTTTGCCTAAAATGTGTTGGGTTTTTTCCTCTTCCCTCTCCTTTCAAAAGCAACATTTTGCAGTGACTCAGGCTGAAATGTGAATTTTCTTTGTTGCTAGCAATTCTCTAGTAGCTATTGTAATTTTCTCAAGGACAAAGTAAAGGGCATAAGTAATTAGGCATACATTAATAACACACATGCAAACCAAGATGCCCCACTGAGCAGCCTCTCTCTCCATTACTGTTTTTAAATTTTTTTGTTGAGTTTAATTTAGTTAACGTTTTACTCTGTTGGTTTCAAATCATCTCCAGGAGAACACAACTCCTTTAAGATCCTCAGGTGACCCAAACTGTTGAAATCAGTAGCTGTCAGCAACCCATGAGGTGACTGGGATTGATGCAGAGCTGGATTAGGGCTGCTAGCAAATGGGCAGTGAAATGTGGGACTTCAACTTATTGAAGAAATCAGAACAAAATTGTGGTCAGTCAGGACAGCTCCAAATCTGCTGACACTCTCAGTAGCTATCACTGCTGTTCGTCACAACGTTGTTCTGAGTACAATTGTTGGAATTTTGTGCCACTGTGTTCTTTGCCAGGCTTTCCTTCAGCATTTCATTTGAGGTATCCAAGGCAGGATTCCTCTCCCCCCTGCCCTGCCTGCAGTACAGTCAGCACAGAAGGGTCCTGACAGCCTGGGATGTGCAAATGCTGCCAGAGTACTTGAAGAGAAGGAATAGCAGAAAAACTGTAAGAGAAAATCCTGGAGTTCCTGCTGGAAAACACCATCTCAAAATACTGGAAGGGAGGGAGTCAAGCTACAAACAGCATGTTTTGGAGCTAGCAAACAAAAAGTACACAAGTCTATCTATCCATCCTGAGTAGATTCACATTCACTAATCAGAGCTTCATAATTCTTCATTGCAACAGATTCAGCTTATCATTCCTGCCTTTAACCAGATTTGTTTATTCTTTACAGCCCTCTCAAATGTTCCAGGCTATTTGTATAGCTGGAGCTCAAAATTAATTTTCAAAAGCCTAAAATATTTTAAAAATAAAGAATAATGGAATATGCAAGAAAAGCAGTACTTATACACAAAAGGTAAAGCAACTTTCTGAAAAGCAATCTCAGGTCTTACATCAGATTTCAGACCTACTTCCATGAAAAATGCCAAACTGTGAAGTTAATACAAAGATGTTGATTTATTGTCTTTGAAACTTTCCAGTAGTAAACAATCCCTGTCTTAACATCTCTTTTAAAGAAGGGTCAACATCCATCCCTGTCCCAAGTCTTTGATGACTGTAGCATTTAATTAGATTTTTAAAGCTTAGGTACCTAAGCAAAACAATTTACCACACACATAGATCAGAAAATAAAATTCTACCCTCACAGTCTCCAGTTTAATCCTTTAGAGGGCATTTCCAGAGGCTGGCAGCTCTGATCATTGAGCATTGCTTCTCTGAACAATGACTGCTTCATAAAGCACTCTTTCTTTTAAAGAGTATTGTGGGGTCATTTGTAGAAAGACTTGTGTTTCAAATAAGAATATCTTTATTCTTCTTTGACTCAGTTAACATATCAAGTCCCTGTCAGTAATGCCAATGGGCTCTATCCACTCTTCTGGTGCCTACACAGGATTTCAAGTGTTCACTACAGAGCCTACTCTTTCATTTGTGCTTAAACAGCTTGAAAGAGAAGCAGACCTCAAAATACCACTCTTACAGACAAAAATGCTGCTTATTTTCTACTACTGGATAACTGAGAAGCAATCACCAGCTGTTAATTACCATGTGAGTCCTCTTCCCTTCTCAGGGATGCAGCAAAGCAAATCTGGATTCCATTCATCCCATTCATCCAGTCCAGGGATGCTTCATCTCACTTTAAAATGCACCATCCTGTTGTGTATCAATGTGTAAAGGACTAGCAGATCCACAGTACTCATGTCATTTTTTTATAAGAAAAACAATGGAAAAAAAAAATCAAGCAAACACTGAAAAACCCCAGTTTTCTATGATGAATTTCAAGTGTAACTGAAAGAGTCCAAGATAAGAAGCAGTAAGCTCGTACTCCAGTATGGAGGAATCAGCACAACCAAAAATAGAAAGCTCCTAAATTATAGTAGCAAAGCACTGGTCAATTCCAAGGCCATTTCCAGAATCAATTCCCAGGGAAAGGTGTAGGCAGCCCTGCCACTGGATGCCTTTATGAAGACAGACACAAGTGGAGTTGATTCTGCACTGGAACAAGGGAATAGATGTCCCTATAGTCCTGTTCTCTGTGATTTGGTGGGAAAGGGCTAGAAGACAATACTAATCAAAATGATCAGCACTCTTCTGTGACAGAAAAACATTTCAGCAGGCCTTCCTTCACCTGGCATTAAAGTGCAACACAAGTGCCTGGTCTCTTTAATAGCCTTGGTCATGATTCAGTATTAAGGCAATATGATGGAATGTGCTTGGTTCAAAAAAAAAACGTAACTATTTCCTGCACACTGTTTATGAGCATTTGCAGAAACTGCAAGTTTTCTTTCCTCACAGGGAAGGCATGCTTTGATTTATGAACTGTAATAGTGAGCTTAATTGGGAAGGAGATATCATTGTTGACAACTTTGTCTTCACCTAGTAACTAATGGAATAAATCTGCAGGGAGAATTTACCTCATCAAGGTTTTGGACAGTGGCTTTTGGAGGCCACATAATTTCTAATGTCTTTGCAATACAGCTTTCACTCTGAGGCCATTGGCTCTGCATCCATGAACAGCTGTCCCCAGAGCCTCAGCAGCAGGGCTGCTCAAGAAGTGGTTAACAGAGAGTAAAGTACTGGACCACAGTGCAAATATCCATCTACATCATGCAATGGTGTGTCACACAGACATCTCCAACACCATGAACCTTGAGGCCACTCACTACAGGGTCCAGATCAATCAGCAGATTGATCAGATGGGTCTGGGGCAATCTGGCCCAGGGATAAATAGCTTGAGGCAACCACTGCATGAACAGGACATGCCAGAAACTGAATACGAACAGAACTAGAGACAATTAGCTTGGCTGTCTGTCAACCATATGCCTTTACTGATTCTAGCTGGGGAGGGGTGTTGTTAAATGTGTCCAGCTGGTTTGGCATTTGTTGTTTATTTAGTGACAAAACATTAATTTAGAAGGCAGACATGTAAGCTTTCTCTTGAGCATATTTTCATTGCCATTATAGTTCCTGCTAGTGTATTTCCCCTTCACTATGATCAATTTCAGTCATTCAGGACTGAGTTTATGGAGCCAAGGGACCCACATTGGACACACCCATGTTATAAGAATGGGGCTCAAGTGTATCATGTCCCCTGTCCAGAGGAACACTATCTCACCACGTGTCTAGACTCTATCAGGTTGTGTAAGGTGAGGCACAGGACATCCTAAATCAAAATTCACTGTTCATCAGCTAGACCCTGCAGATTCTTGAGTAAACAGAGGATTCATTGAACTAATGGACCATTCAAGCATGTTAACCCACATAATTGTTTGCATGACATCAGTCACAGGCATCTCAGAATAAACTCTGCACTGCTTGTATTGACAAGTGCCTCATAAATAGCAGAGACTGAATGTCACTGCCTTTCTGGGCAGTACATTCCCACCAGTATGAGGGCAGAGATTACTGTCACAAGCTGCAGTCCCTCTTCAGATCGGGGATTTTTGGCTTCCATTGGCTGATTCAAGATGGTTCACCTTGAATTGTAAAAGGAGGTTTTTACAGGACCAGAGAACTTTTAAGTGGAGAAGACACAGAGTGTAGAAAGGGTTGTAGAGAAGCTCTACACTCTGAGGAATATTCCTATAGCTGCTCTGCTTCCCACCCCACTGTAGATAGGGAATGCAAACCTTTCTTGATACTTGAGTGACCAAATTAATAATTTTCCTTCTTAGTAGAAAAGAGGAGAATGATTCTGTTTTACCTTATAGCATTCTTATTCCTAAAATTATCTTATTGCTCTCTAAACATTACTGATGTACCCACTTTTGGATATCACAAACAGGTCCCTTTCTTTATGCAATTTTTACTCTGAGACTAGGGCCATTTGTGGTCATTCATATTTAGTTAAGGTACCAATCTTTCCTACTCAAAAGAACAAAAAATTTTTCCTTCTGATGAGGGAAAGCCTAAAAGAGAGTTTTCACTGTTATTTCCTTTTTTACTATACCATCCACCCACTGAAAAATGGAAAGATTCCCTTCCATACAATTCAAGGCTCAAGGCTGATATTCTTTGTTCTCTATTAACGTCCCAATGCATGTGAAATAGCAACCCAAATTCACTGATTACTCATTTTGGCCTTGAGTTTAATGATGTACAGATATTTCTTTTCTTTCAGCAGAGACTACCTACTTTTTTAAGACATGGGAGTACAGCGCAGAAGTAAAGGCACTTCATTATGTTTGATATTCCCCTTCAGTTTCTCAAGGATGTTTCACTGTACAATTATAACAAGACAACAAAAGAAAACCTCTTCAAACTGTTCAGGAAAACTAGAAGTAGTTTCTGTGTGAATGGAACTCATCAATTGTTGTTTACCAGATGGAAGTAGTTTTCAACATTTTTTAATTTACAGCTTCTGTGCAGATTATGACATTACTAATTTAACTTCAATGGCAACAGGTTTAGCTTGGCTTGTTGTTCTAGAATCCCCTAGAACAAGCCATTGGGTCCCAGGCAGAAAGCAGTGCCAAATATTTGTATTTCTTGATCCCTCTTCATACATCACATATCCCTCTTCACTCTTTAGCAAAACACCTCTCACTCCCAGGGAATTTCTGAAGAAAAATGCAGAATTTAGGCATGTAGATTAGCTGAAATTTTTGTAGTGCAACCTTTTTCTCCCTTAGAAGTGAAAAATAATTATAGCAAAAACTCTAATAAAATGCAAGGGGCCCGTAGACATCCTATTGCATTTCTATATCCAAGCAAGAAAGCAAAGGATTTCCTGTTGAAATTATATTTTTCAGTGGAATCATTCTTCTCCTGTCCACATACTTCTACAAGTTGCAGCTAAAAAATGTACATCTGTTGAAATAAACAGGCAGGGGTGTTAGCATTGCTTGCATTCATACCAATAATATGAAAGATCATCAGTGATGATTCAGATCCCATGGCATCCCTTGTAAGAGATTTGGCAGCTTGCACCCCATTACCCTCTTCTCCCCCTACTCTTAATCTTTATTTCAATAACCTTAACTTCTAGAAAAATGACAGAAGCCAGTGGCAATATTTCTTACTCCAGCTTCACAATAGGTAATCTCTTGCAATATCATTTTAATAACAGAAGAACAATAAAATATCGTCTGAGAAAAAGCACAAAGAGAAGGGGAGAAAGATGCACAAAAATGAATGACAAAAAAGCAGGGTGGAAATATGTCCTCAAGTGTTTCTTAGGGCATTTTCTTCTTTTTCTGTTTGTGCCCATCAACCCAGTAGTACAAGTGCCATGTGGAATTCCCTCTCAGGTCCTGCCATCCTAGCTTCAGTAATGAGCTTCTGATTCAACAACAGCAACATCCAGGGTGTCTCAAACTCAATATGATATAAAGAAAATGAGCATCTCTTATTTTATTTCAGTGAGATATGGGCCATTCTGTCTGGTGTAAAGCAAAGCCCACCTGAGATTTAGAGGTAGAATATCCAATGCTAAGCTCTTCAATGAAAGTTACTTCTAGATTTGACTACATCAATTTGTTATGCTCTTATTTGCGAGCTGGACTCTCATCCTAATTACTCCACAATACCTCAGAAAGCAATCAGTTAATTCCTCTTAATCACTCCCTAATTCTTCAATGATTACTTAAGTATTTGTAGCTGTTGCCCCAGTTTAGAGTGCAATGTTGAGTGCCATCAATTAATGGATATTTAGTCTAGAATTTTAGGGGCAGATATTAAGTGCCATTCAAATGCCAACTTGACTTTGAAAGATCACTCTGAGTCAGAGATCTCAGTGGATTGACTCCAAAGAGCAAAGGAAACATGTGATTACAATCTAAAGAATATTTTAACATTTAAGGTAAGTATTCACATCATCTCACTGACATTAAGGCCAAACAGCTATAACTGTGCATACAGATTCCAAATTAATCAATATGCCTTCGTTAGGTTGGGATACGTGCAGCTCCTGCATCCCCCCCAGCAGGGAGCCTGATGGTGACAGACAGCTGTCATCCTCACCCACCCTGCTCTGCTGCCCTGCGGTCAGAATCAGCCCTCCCCAGCTCAGAACTCTCCCTGTGAATGTGTTTTGTACCTGCCTGGCTGCCCTGTACCCCGAGGCCCTCAGCATGTTTCTCCCCTGCATCACACACAGCCATCATGCCTTTTTTCTGTTTCCTTATCCCTGCACAATTCTGCTCATCTCTTCTCCTGCAGTATCTAAATGGCAACTTCCCCCATCCCTATTCATTTTGATTCCTTTTCCACACTCAACAGGAATGACTCAGACTTACCTAACAGTAACACACCTCATCCTTTACTCACATTATTTCCTCACCTTTACAGACTTGTCTGAGTCACAGTTCAGGTTTATATATGGTGCAAAATGTTTACTTACCTTGTATGCACAGACCAAAACCAGAGAAGCTAAACAACATGCAGACAGTTATCTTAAGACAGTAGGACCAGACATAGCAGTTTACTTCCTGGGGACTAAGAGAAAAGATTCTAAACAGGGAGCATAAGAAGGGATAATAACATCCTCCCTGATTTATGATGCACCCTACAGTCAGAAATTAATTCACAAAATGAAAACTGATGTAACCATGTCTTTAACAATGCTTGTGTAGTCAGAAAAATAATCTCTCAAATGTGTGCAATAACTCCACCTGGTGATTCTCAACATGGTATTGTCAAGCTTAAAGCAGCTTCTTATGAGAAAGAGAGGAGCAGAGGTGTTATAAAAACTAAAGGCCTAATCTGCAACATTAGCAGCAGAGTTCTGATACAGTACATCCTACATTCTGTTAGCACTTATTTGGCTTAACCTGTAGATTGCATTTCAAAATAAAAAATGTACAAATAGGAATGGAGTGCCCATCCTGCCCACAGAATACATTTTGTTTGATAGTAGGAACCACGTACATCCCACAGGAGATTGTTGAACATGTACTGAAATAATTTCTAACTTTATATTATTACATTCATATAAAAAAGCATCACTTCTTTCAAAACTGATTCTTCCTTTTCTAGGAACGGAGCATAACAGTGCAGATGACATTCAAAATGTAAAGCTGAGAAGCAAATAGACCAAACCTCCCTCCCCCCACCATTTAAATCACTGATTCCCAGGACTGCCCAAGCTGGTCCTCTAGAGGAAATTGATTTTTGATACTGGTACCAGAGAATGTTGAGGATTGAAAAGTAAAGCATTGTTATCCTACAGATGTAACAAAACCATTTATCTGGCCTTTCAGACTAAGAGAGGAACCACACTAGATTTCTTGCCTCTCACACCATATTTTAAACCAAAAGTTTATCATTCCACAGGTTCTACCCATTAAGAATCATAATAAAGGAAGGAACTCAGTAATAGCACTCCTGAGCATAGTGGCACTTTTCAAGGCTGTAATTCCTGAAAATATTACTTTGCAAATATCATACATATATATTAAGGCAGATATAAGCATGTTTGACTTTATTTCTTGCAACAAGTCCATAATCATTTCGTAAAAAGATGGAAATTGCATGCAAAGTCATTATATCAAGAATGAAAATTTGACATTTCCTGTAGTTAAAAAAATATTTTTAACGTTTGCTTATTTTTAAAAGTCATCCAGAAAAGCCAAACTCCTGATGTCCCTCAGCCATACAAGTTATAACATCCCATGGAAAGCACCGAGTGGTAAAGTATGTACTGAAGAAATTAGTACTGCTGGATGTTCTTAGAGACTGAAAACCCAAAACACATCAAGCACACAGTACCATCATTTTTACACTCATCCTTGTTTTGTCCTTCTTGTCTCACACATTTAGTGAGTCCAGCAGGAGCAAACAGGGAACTCCCAGTTCCAAGTGTGGAGTGTCACTCACTACCACTCCCATCTGTATTGAGCCTGATATTGGTAGCAATTAGTCACTGGTAGCCCTGCTAAACGCTGTGATTTCAGAGTTTCCTGAACCTGAACACCTGCCACCCCAGACTGACCCATGGTCATCACAGCCCTGCAGCTTTTCACAATGCCCAGCACTGGTAGCTTTATAGGAACTTTCAAGAAGCCCTTGAAAATAATGTTAAAAGACAGCTTAAGGTCTCAGCTCCAACCAGGAAATATCTTTCTTCTCACAAAAACACAAAGTCTAGAAACTGAGAGTCACAATTCAAAGCAAGAGAAAATCTGCAAGTGTGAGGGTCTATGTTCCTGCTCCAACTGAGTTATGAATTTAGAAGTGGCTGGGATCTTTGTCATCCCTAAGAACCACTGTCTTCCTCTGCCTAATAAGTTTATAAAACCTCATTTAACTCCTACTTGGAAAGGAAAAAAACAGTCTGACAGACCAACATAAGAGCTCACCTATAATTGTGCTGTTCTATTTCCCAGCTGAGCTTAAAATCACACTCTCATTTTTATTTATATATCATCATAGATATGCTTAGCCAAGGAAGAAATCAAATCACAGGGGCATTTTCTTTAATCTGGTGCATTCAGTTATTATTTCATCAAACAGGATTGAATCCCAGGTGGTTTCACTATTAGGGTATGGGATGCTAACTTACATAAGTATTTTAATTCTCACACCTCTTTCGGATTTGATTATTTATAGACAGGCATAACACAGAGCTTATGATGTTTTATGGAACAATTAAGAGCTAAAAAATCAAATTCAGGTGGTTTTTGTACTTTGTGAAAATCCTGGCAAAAACACCTCTAGCTCAGTGGAGAAGCTCAAGCTCACCCCAGTGCATTGAGATTATGCCTCAATATACCCCTATGATCTAAAAAGATGTTGTTGGTTATCTGTATCCTTGGAGAATTGCTGTCATGTACAAGCTTATGTAATCCATTTATGTACTTTTGCTTGTTTAAAAAGTATAATCCAGATCCCATAATCTGCCTTATGAGAGTCACTACAATTAATGTAACAGAAACTCTTACTTTCAGTTAAGCAAAATTCCAGAGTTGATCTGAATGAAGGACCAGAAGTGAGGGGAGTATGAGTGTCTTTCTTTCCACAACCCTCTTGGTATGTTTGGAATTTCCATACTGAACTATATATTCTTATATATTCATATTAGGCTGTTGTAAAAGACCCAGCAGTGGAATGGCTCAAGAGCTTCCAGATATGACTCGAGGACCTGTTGCACAATAAAAAGAAGGTTTTACCCCACAGCCCATGGGAGCTCAAAGTGTTTGTTGTATCTTCAGCTAAGTACATCACAATGTTGAATCACCTGTAAACCTGCCAAAAGAATTGCAAAGGTTCTAACAGAAGCAAGGGCTTTGCAGTATTTTTCCAGATGGTTTAAAATGTGACTGATCCCAAATATCATCCCCACAGCAGAGTTTGCAGAGGGAACCATGTCCCCACTGACTTCTCTGTCCTGTGTATGAGACACAGGCTTCAGAGCCACAGGTGGAGCAGCCCTGCACCCTCTCTACTTTTGCTCAGGTAAGGGCAAACAGTCATGACTTATTGAAAACAAGGGAAGCCTCAGAGCCAGACAACCAAAGACTGAAATGGAGCAGGAGGAGATAACACCAATTTGGCAATCAGTATTATTTAATTGGGACAAGTGTCTTCACCAATGGCTCTTTGGAAGGAGGAGGAAAAGGAGGCTAAGCTGGCTGCTATCATCCCCAGCTGCTAATTTGTACTGAGAGACAGAGAAATATCAACTGCACTGTTAATTTCTATATTATGGAAATTAATCCTCTCATTTGCACAGTAGGAAGCCAAATTATACCATCACATGCACAAATAAATCTGACATTTTGAGAATTTGACATTGCACCAGAGAGAGCTGGTTTCAGCAATACCTCCCTCCTCACAGAGAGAGCATAAGGGTGTCTTCTCTCAACAAAGATACTGTCAGAATATCAGCCAGATCCTCAGCTGATGAAATTTGGCAAAGATCTCCCAGTTTAAAGAGAACAGCTGTGATCTGCCTCCCAGAAAGGCAGATAATAAAGAAAAGTGCATTTTTCAGTGCGACAAAACTATTTTTCTAAACTAGCAAGAGAAGTTGCCACAGGACCTACTAAACCTTCACATTCCATTTTCAGTGTGTTTCCTCTATGGAGATTTCTCTTGTACCTACCATAGTATTTTTTCTACTAAAAACATAACATCTCATCAGGCATTTCTAAATGAAAATAGTAGAGGTGGGAAAAAAAATAAACCTAAAAAGCCCCACAAAAATCCCAAAACAACTATCTGCAGCGATACAGCTTCAGAGTTAAATACTCCGTAAAATCCACATTGTCTGTCACTTGATTTGAATGACAACTACAAAATGCCTGAGGAACATTAGGTTTTATGAAAGAGAGAATTTCAATCATTCTTAGTTAGCTTGGGTTTATTTACTTAAATTTAATTGTTAGTCTATATTTGAGAGTCAAAGACTTTAATATAGATCACGGATTCTCTGGAGGTGGGGAATAATCATCTGCTGACTGATTTTCACTCACCCATTTTTCTCTCCATTGTTGATCCTGTCCTCTCAATTTTTTATTCCTATATTTCAACTCTAAAAAGTTACTGAAAAAATACATATTGATTCTTAAAAAACAAATAACCATTTAAAAATGATCACACTTTTACTTAAGTCATTGGTCAGTGAGATGAGCTGAAAAATTCATGTTTGAGCAGCTGATATAAATTTTTGACGATAAAGAGCTTGATTATAACCATCTAACACATTCTGTTCATATCCAAAGCACTCATATATATTTTATCAAACTCCTCAAAACCGATTAAGATTAAACTTTCACTTAGGAAGTGTAATAAAGTGAAGACCAATTTTTCACAGCAAACAAGAGCCACACCTGCCAATTCAATCCTAGCATGATCCACACTCTACACTTAGAAACAGAAATAGCAAATAGTCTCACCTGACTCCAGGATCTCGGGCCTTAGGAAAACACACCTATGTTCTGGAAACAGTAAGAAAAAGAGAAAGCAAGATGACCTGAATTTCATTAAGAAAATCTGCAAAATGACACTCCCACCCCCCATTTTCTTCCTCCATAGAAGCCATTTAAGCATAACCTTGTTTGTAGTTTGGTCTTTCATACAGAAACATAATTAAGATCTGATCTGCAACCACATGCCTTAAATAAAAGGCAGCTGCTCATATGATCTGCTCATTAAGTGCTGTATTCCAAATGCATACAAAGATGCCAAGGTAATTAACAAGGCACAAAAGCTTTGGGGAATTTGCAATAGAAACTCAGTTGAGACTCATCTTTACATTTACAGGATAATAGCTAGAAGTCTATGAATGTAGATTTCATTTTAAAATCTTTTTGCTCTCAGGGTGACATTTCAGAACTGTTCTTTTTGAAAAGTTACATTTTCTAGTCTTATGGTTCCTAAAGATGCCTTTTTGTGCTTCTAGGATCTATTCCTTCTCTTTTTCTTTAAGCTTCACAGCTTCCTGATAATATTTCATAGAAGGTTTTAAAGATTTTGAAAGTATGAAATTTTCCCATGTAGCAAGTCATTTTTATACCAACTAACACATCCAAAAGTCTATTTACCACCTTCTCCCCCACTCCTCAGCTTCTTTACTTTTCCACCTCTTTTTACTTGATCAGCCCTAACTTTTCCAAATCCCTATACCATTTTTTTGCAAGGAACAAAACTGTTTTCCACTCTTATTTCACTTCAATACTCTATTTCTTCTTTGGACAGTTAAGCAAGCAGCTAAACCAGCTGTGATAACATAGCTTTCTCTGTAAATAGCACTTAGAGGAAAGAAGAAACTGTTGGTTTTGGGGGGGATTTTACCTTATTTTTAATTAATATGATTCACAAAGTCTTCTTCAGGAGCATTACCCAGAAGCCTGAGTGAAACGAAATGAATCATGGGAGGAGAATTTAAAAGCCACACACACATTAAGGGGAAATAGCTTTCTTGGCACAGATGCAATAGCTTCACCTGTAAAAGGCAAGAAAACAGGCTTTCTTACAGACCAGTTAATTGGGTGTGTTTCACAGCTTTCCTAGTATCTAGCTTTCATTGTGCCTGAAGCCAAATCCCTGCTGTCCTCCCATCTTTTCAGTAGCAGTGTCATCCCTCCCTAATTTTTTTTTTCCTTATCAAATTCTGAGGTTTCATAATGCAGTTGAAGACTGAGTAACTGAATTAAAAGTGCTAGAAGACAAAGCTTGCAAAGTAATCATAGTGCTGGCTTGAAAATGTCCTTTCTTTGTTTAATAATGCAAACCCACAAATTAAATCAAAATTCAGCTAAAGTTTGAAATAAGATTTTTTTAGTATTTTTTTTCTTGTTTTGTGCAGGCAGAAATCTTGGCTTTCCTCTACCTGCAAGGTTTGCAGCAGACTAACCCACCAAAGCATTCACACCTGTGGGATAGTAGACTGGTGTTTTCCCAGGTTCATAGAAAGACCTTTAATCAAGTCCTTTTTGTATGTGATTACCCAGACCTTACCAGGGAGAAACTCTGTAAATCTATAATTAATACTCTTCCCAGGCTACAGAAAATAACTCTAGAACCTGCTCAAAATCAAAGACCATACTTGACCACAACTCCTCCACAGTATAGCAGAGCTCCCTAGCTCTGTTATGTACCATGCTTTCTCTTACACACCCCATCCCAAAATATGTGGATCCTGTGATTTTTGCAGTGTGTGGCTGGGTCAGACAGGGCTGTGAGCTGATGAGATGCTCAAGTCCAATACTCACCAGGATCCCCCTCTCCTCCTCAGGACTGCAAAAGGAATCCAACCGGATTTCACCTCTGACACAATTGTTGCAGTCATCTTCATCAAATTATGAAAGACAAAAGTGGGTCTTAAAATCCTTTTAAAGCTTATTTGTATTCCTATTAGCAAGGTGCAGTAATAAATAACTTCCTTTCTCTGGGCTCAGGAAGGCAGTATCACATGGAGATGAAGGCATTTGAAAATAGACCTAAACTGCAGGATTTCTTCTATTTCCTTAGGGTGCCTGGTCCTGAAGGCCCTTCAAAGACTGAAGCACAGTTCACAGATGCTGACTTTGCTAAGTTTTCATCTCAGGAAAAAAGTGAGAAGAAAAATAAAATACTCTACTGTTGTATCTGCTATATAGAGAAATAATAAATATCAGATATAGATTTTTCCTTCAAGCAAAACAAAGGGGACTGGAAAAACATGAGCTTTGTTGTTATTTCTTATCAAAATTGGTCAAATTTATATGACCTACAACAGTAATAATAGCAATAATAATGATCCTGGTGATGAGGATGAATCTATCAGGATATGCATTATTTTAAGAAAGACTGACAACAAAATACATCTGTGAACCTGAAAAATGGGAAACTTGGGGAAAAAGAAAACAAATAGCCATTTCATGAAGAATAACGAACATAGGACATAAGTCATCAGCGTGAACAGTGAAATAGGGAAAAACAATTAATTTTAAAAGTAGATGGATTTCCAAGGGTAGAGAGGCATGAATGAATCAGCAGATGGAAGCAGCAGTGTTGGGGAGACGACCATTAAAATGTTTAGTGACCTCTGGAAAGCTGACAAGCTCAGCAGTTTGTGGCAGTGTTTCCTCAAAGCCTCAGTCCAGAGCCTCGCTCCGGTTCTCGGGCGCTCCCAGCAGAGCCCCCGCAGTGCCCGAGGAGCTGCCAGCAGCTCACGGTGGATGGAGGCAGCTCAGGGCAGAGGGCACAGGTTTGTGCTGTCAAACAGCAGGATGCAATGGGATCAGGCATATCCAACAGCAGTCTCACAGGCCATGCATATTTAGTAAGTGGTCATATTCATCACTTTGGTTTTTACTTCAAGAACTCATCCCTGCATTATATATGAGGAATTTTCTCTGTCACGTTATGTATTCCCTTGTGTCAACCACCTTTTGTCCCCAGTGTTCTCATTAAAAAAACCAAAAAGCTATCCTTAAGCAAGCACATTAAGAAACAGAAGTGTGTGAAGAATAAAGCTGAATAATTCAAACCACTCCTTAGATGTTCATGATGATTTTAAGCAAATAATGATAATTTGATTTACATCATCTTTTAAATATGCATTTGATATTTGCTATTCTTATGACAGTTCCCACATAAAAACACAGAACTGGACTGTCCATTTTAACTGAATAGAGGCCCCAAGGCTTTTTTAGTTCTGTTTTCCCAGTCTCGTAAAACCTTACCTCCAAGGGTGGGAATCCAGTTCTGATGCACCAGAATTTCTGCAGATGGTGCAAGCTGATATGTTGGTTTTGACAAAGTGGCATCTCATTTCTAATAGACAGAAATAGACTGAAAATGCTCAAAGTATCTTGCCAGTGCAACTAAATGTTCAGTAACAATTTTTTTTCTCTTCCAAGTTACAACAAAATCAATGATCTAGAAGAGAAAACTCACAAGGCCATTACTATTTTTCAGCTCTCCTTCCCTGCTTTATTCTCTCATCACTTTGGTCATTCAGTTTCCAGCATCCTCCAGAGTCTGATAGATATTTAAGAGCAAAGTCAGAAAAAAATCTTATAATAAAACTGCTGATTGCTAAAGAAATACAATGTTCTGGCTGATTGGAGTCTAAGACATTTCTGTAGCAATGGGTAACCTACTTTAAATTATTTTCTCTCTTGCAGTGAGTAAAATATAACTAGGCTTTGTTGGGGCTACTACCCCTGCAGTAACAACAGTCCTGTTTCCTCTTGTGCTCTCATGCCTCATCTTTGCATCAGCAGAAAATCTCATTTCTCACTTCTGTATGCCATTCCCTTTCATGAACACACAAATTCCACAATCTAAATGTGACAGATTTTTTACCTATTCCCTCAGACTATCCAGTGCTGAAGATTTAGTGCTTCGAAACAACCCTGGGAACCTTGCTGCATGCCTCCTTGGTAGGCTGGAAAAATATGTGAGAAGAGACTTGCAAAGATAAATCAAAGTGTGAGATACTTTACTAAACTAGAGAAATTTTTATGGCATTTAGATGATACTGAAGCACTGTTAACCAGTGTGTAGATGATTGAACAGGTGATGAATTCCTTAGAGGAAAAAGCCATTAAGAGGTTTTAAATCCATTTTAAAAAAACCAAACAAAAACAGTATTATGTGCTGTAAAGAGCACCAAGATGTCCTCTCCTTCCCTTTCTAATAAAGTCCCCATCAGAATACTCCTGTACAGGTTTCCCAAGGCATTTTGTCAGCACACTACAAACAACACCTGTGTTGAGTTTCAATATGATTTACAAATGAGCATTGGAAGGGAAGTGCTGCTGATAGTTTCCATTTACATCCACGTGAAAACCTCAGCACACCAAGAGGATGCATTTGGCAATTGCATGGGATATACTTCTCATTTCTCAACCAGCTCTCCAACTAGATCTGATTTTGCAAATCCAGTGAAATCTGCTTCTCCCATGTCTCCATAAGCAACAGTGATTTAGGATATCCATTTGCAAAGAATCCAGTCTCTGTCTTCTGGCTGCTTAATATGGACAAGAGATTTCAACACAAGTTTTTTGTGTCTCCAGCAGAATATCTGAGTCAACAAGTTTATTAGATTTCCTCCGTGTCCTTTGAAACTGTCCTACTTTGTTTAACTAATTAAATAACCACTGGAGCAATAACCTGGCTTTCCTCTCACATGCTTGACACCCCTAACCTCTTTCTTGTCCAATGAACATTTAATTACTGAGGTAAACTAAAACATATGCAAGAGGAATGATGAGGAGAGCTTGCCCACAGCATGCGTGACAGACAAGCTATTCAGGCTGTCTGCTGAGCAGCATAAGTTTAGGCAACTACTTGAAATCTTCTACACTCAAACCTCATACATATTACAAACTCAGTCTTGAAAGTGGTATGTGGATAATTAAGAGGTACAGTCCTGTTTGTACATTTTAAACTTAAGATTCTGAGAGTAATTATTATTTTCAACTTCACCTTCTGTATGCTGGGATGACCCCATGCAGTCCTTTAGGTGGTCATGCTCTATATTTGACTCTGAGCTCTACGGATTAACTTTTAGAGTTTACAAGACCAGATCTACCTCCATGAGAATCTTTTTAGCAGCCTACCTTACCTACAGTCACTAGTGCAAAAACTTCTGTCATCTGCACTGTCAGTAAATAAAAAAATAATACTCTCAGTAGAGTAGGTACTGAATGAAACCATAATCAGTGTAGGCCTTTAGGAAAAGACAGTGCTCTTGTGAAAGAAATACAAATTTTAGATGGAGAAATGCCCTTTGGTTTCTCCTCATTGACTCTACAGTGTTTAGGGCAATAGTCTTCCACTACAGGGACTCTTAAGTCAGAAAAAAAAATTGAGCCATAAACTAAAACTCCATGCAGTAGAATGAAATCAAGCCTCACTCTTTGTTCTTAAAACTGAGACATATAAAACTGTAAGGAACACTGTGAAACTCTGAGTCATTTATAGCAGATATTTTCTGTTAGCAATTCCCCATGAAAAATGAACTCATCCTGGGACTCAAAGCACAAGAGGCCAGGGCCCAGCAGAGTGCACACTGAAGCGAGAGGTTGCTTCACCCTTTAGTTGTGTCTGTGGTCCCTTGGCTCTAAACAAGTGTTATTGTACACGTGGAGTCCGTGCAGCCCTTTCCAGCAGAGAGCAGGGATGTGCTGACCTTGAGCAGGCCTTAAAAATTGTAGATTTTGTTCAAGTGGAATTAGGAACCCGCAAGGCTGCAACCTCTTTAACAATCCCTTCCAGGAATATTTTCTACCATACCATCAAGAATTCAGAAACATCGGTGTTAGAGCACCCTTGTCAAAATATATTAAATCCTTTGTGGAAGTTTTCCCGTATCTGCTGCCCACCACACAGGTGATTCCTGAATGAGCACACTGCCACTTTTGTGCTTCAAATTCTTCTTCTCTGCTGCTTTTGCAGCAGCCACTTCCTCTCACTTCTCAGGGATGTAACCAGCTGTCTGCAGTTTAATTGGGACAGTGAGAAC